AATGAAACCCAGCGTGCTCTTCGCGAATCAATCCCTCACGTATTTTGCACAGCCTGCGAAGCAAGACAACAGCCAATATTTTAGACGCGACTGTTACCCTTATGGTTGTCACATGAATTACGTCGACCCTTTTTAAAGATGGGGACGATAATGGCTTCGTTCCACTTTGATGGTACACTCTCAGTTTCCCATACCTTCCTGAATAGCCTAGTTAGAGCCATTGTGAGAGGCTCGCCACCAACTTTAAAAAGAGCCGGGGGTAGATTGTCTGGGCGCCGTGTGGCTTGGAGTTCCTTACGGACCTCCGCTTCGGTGGGTGGGTCGACACTTATCGACCAAGGAGCACTTGGGCTAATCACAGGAGATACTGAAGCTGGTGGCCAGCTAAACTGCTTCTCGAAGTTCTCTGCCCAGCGTTCCAGGCAGGTATTTGGCGTGCTATCTGCCTCACAGACCGTCTCGCTGACACCTTGTTTCTTGCTGCCGGCGGCTCGGATGAGTTGGAACAGCTTCCGACTGTTGCCAGATGCAGCAGTTGACTCAATCTCACGCGCACGTTCTGACCACCAGGCTTCGCGGTCCTTACGTAAACACTGTCTTATATTGCGCCTAAGCGCCTTTCGCTTATTGTTGTACTCGCTGCCAGCCGGAATGGACCGGCATTCATTCAGGAGTCGCAAGGAACTCGCAGAAACCCATTGGTTTTTAGCACAGGATTCATTCAAGCCGCAAGCGGCTACACTCGCCATTTGCATAGCGTCTTGCAGGTGAAGCCGAGGTTTATCTATACTACTTAGGGGGTTGATAGCATGCAATGATTGTTACTCATTGTGGTATTTCAAAGAAGTAGCACGTGCTACTAATTTGCTCACATCAACGTTTAGACGAGGCGTTTTATGGGCCCCACCAAATCGCAAGACAAATTTGGCACACACTAACGTATGATCGGAGTCCAGACATGTGCTCCAGAAGGAGTGGCAGTCTTGTATGCATCATCGCCACTGGAAACTGACAGCAACATGATCAATCTGAATCCAAGCTTGATTTGCAGAGGGAGGACGCCAGGTAGCGCTACGGCGATGGCTGTGCCGGAAGTTGGTGCAGGCTAGAAACAGGTTGTGATCCGCGCAGAGCTGCAGAAGACGGTCCCCACTACCTGACCTGCTACCATGTAGGCCCCATTTACCACCTAGACGATTCTCCTCTGAGCTTAGACGCCAAACCTGTGCATTCAAGTCCCCAGCCTGCACTACGATATACCTCCGACCCGCCTGTCTCAAGAGATCGCTCAGTTGGTAGTAGATCTCCCCCTTAATTGCATCCGAGCTGCAATCCGTTGGTGCATAGGCAGAGACAACAAATAGACACCGCCTATCTCGCCTACTACTCCTTACTTTCGTATAACCTTCCAGCCTCACAGCACATAAACGACTGTCAATGGGAATCCAGTCGAGCAATGCAGCTTCGGCTCTAGCGCTCAGTGCGACACCGACTACGCCGGATGCCGACGCCACAGGATCCCCGGACAAGCGCAAGTGGTACATGCTACTAGAACTTTCAGATGGAGAGGATATTCGAAGCACTTCACTGGGATCTTGAATGCGGGTCTCCAAAATGCAGTAGACATCGGTAGCGAGGCTTTCCAAAGTTCTTGCCAACCCTGCCTGTTGTCCGATTTGCATTGTAGGTGGCCATCTTGAACGCGGTTTCAGGATATCTGTGTTAGATGCGACATCGCATTGGGGACAACCATTTTGAAGGCTACTCACTAACATCTCGAAACGGCATAGATGGGCTGGGAATCCAAACAAAGGCGAAAGGCTGTCGAAGGTAAAGAAGTCAAGGTCACCAAAGGTAAAATACAGGAGTCTATGTGTAAACACAAGAGTCAAGTTGGGAACACAAGTTACCCTCAACATCATTATTGCTTGAAAGTATCGTTACGTGCGAGCGATAAGTTTCACTGATAGCTTTTGCTTCATTTCATTTATTGTGTGAGGGCTGAGATACTGCCCGGGCGCCCAGACCAGGGTAGGTGGTTTTTTTAAGGGACCACCCCCTGAGCCTTTGACTTGGAGTCTAATCAGCAAGGCAATGGAGCAGCGTCAGGAGCTGCATTCCCATGGTTGCCGGTGACCAATATGGGTTCGTACGCCATTTGATCCCATTGGATTCTAAAGCCCATGTACCCCATGGTAACTGCTTTTAGTCTAACCACTATCCAAACAACCTTCCTGACATGGTAGGACCTGCAGGCACATGAGTCCCAGCCAGTTTAGCTTGTTAAGTCACTGCGGTATTCAACCCACCACTACGACAAGGTAGCAATTGTCGGCCGCATACTTACAAGCAACTAAAAACAAAAGAAGGAAGATTTCTGTAGACAACTGCAAACAGTAGTGGACAATATTCCAAATAGCGATATCAAAATTATTATTGGCGATGCGAATGCTAAACAGAGAATAGACAATACAGGAAGAGAATTCACCATGGGTCGAGAGGCTCTCGCTCCAAGAAATGAATGAGAATGGATAACTCTTCACAGATTTCCGCTCCTTCATTCATTTCGGTGACTGGAGGTAGCGTATACAAACACATGGGATTCGCCTGACAGACACACGACAAACCAGATATACTTCATCCCAACATTGATCAAGAAAGCGAAAACGCAGCCAGTCTGCTAGACACAAAGCCGAGAAGGGGACCAGACGTGAGTGGGCTCACATCATCCTCTAGTTCCAGGAATCCGAAAGGTGAAGCTTAAATCCCTTAAAACAGCTAGAAGCAGACCGCAATTCAAGTCCAACATTCATAAACTAAAGGGCAAAACTACAAGAGACACCTTCACTGCAGCTTTAAGACCAGAGCGAAGACAGAAACACTACGTGGTATCACCGAGGAAACCTGTGTGAAAGGACATTGGCACAAACTCTCTGAAGATGATATTCACGGGATGTTGTCCAACTCTCCTAAGAAGAAGGAAGAGACAAGACAAAGAATGACTCTAAACGGACGACTACCTGGAAGCTAATAGAAGAGAGGAGGATGGTGAAAGAGAAGATGACTCATTGCAAAGATGGACAACAGAAGGAGAAGCTGAGTTCAAGGAACACTGTACTGAGTAACGAAGTGAAGTATAGTGCTAAGAAAGACAATAGTAAATTCTACAACACACTGGCCGGCAAATGAAAAAGAACAGGCAGGCTGAAGTTAAAAGAGGACTCAAAGCATTATACCGGACAACCAGGTCTCTATCCGGGTAAAGATCAACGCGGAAGAAAATTATAAAATATGTTGAAGCGAACCTAATTACCGAGGAGGAAAGAAAAATAAAGCAATGGGCTGATCATTTTGAAGGACCCTTGCACAGTCTGCCAGTTGCAACTCGTTCAGAAATACTACCAACAGCCCATACAAAATTGCCAACGGACACTCATTCCCCAACAATAGCAGAAGTCTTGAGTGCAAACAAGTTACTGAAGGCAGGATGGCATCCCTTCTGAAACACTGAAAATGGATTTCGAGATAGTAGCGGATGTGTCACGCCACTATTACAAAAAGTTTGGAAGGAAAGAAAGGTACCTACCTACTGACTGGAAGAAAGGTTATCTTGTCAAATTAACAAAGGGCGATTTAGTCCTCTGCAGGAACTGGCGCGGAATTAAATACTAAGTCGCATCATCCTGGAGAGAATAAAAGACGCACCGGATTCAGGAAAATCGAATAGTATGCCGATCAAATTGCAACTCTACACACCGTCATCACGGAACGAAGCATAGAATGGCAGTCAAACCTATGCCTCAACTTCATCGATAGCGAAAAGAGCTTCACCAGACGGCGTAACTGAGAAGTAATTTGGAAACTACTTCAACACTACGGCATGCCCTGCCCAAGTTTCTATCAACCTCATTCATTAGCTATATGACATTGGCACGTGATCCACAACGGAAAACTCAGTGAGGCGTTCGAAGTGGAGACAAGAGTAAGACAACACTGGCTGCCTGTTATCACTGGTGATATTCCTAGTTGTGATGGACTGGATTATGCGTCAAAATGTGGGGAGTGAGAAGACAGCATTACGCTAGACGGACAGAAAAATCTTAAAGATCTGAATTTCGCAGATGATTTATTTCTCATGTCACAGAAACTCGAAGGCTTTCAGGAGAAAACAAACGAACTAGCTGAAGAAAGGAATTCAAGTGGACATAGAGAAGATGGAGGTGATGAAGATACTTAGTCAGCAATAACAAGCCCCAGTCACTATCAACGGAAAATTTTTCAAAGAGGTTATTCTTTTCACTCATCTAGGAAGCATAGTTTCAACTACAGGCGGAACAGATGAAGATATTAAAGCCAGCTTTCATAAATTTGAAGTCACTTCGGAAGTCTTGTGCACTGAACACAAAGAACAAAATTCGAATTTTCAACACCATCGTTAGGTCGGTCGTTCTATACGAGTTAGAAACTTGGTGTCCGCGCCACGAAAAGCATTTCCAATAGGTTAGACTTTCAACAACAACCTCCTTCTCTAAATTCTGAAGATCAAATGGACAGGAAGAATTACCAACAAGAAACCCTAGGGACAAACCAATTAGGGACCGACTGTTCAACAAATATGGTGAAGACATTGGGCACACGACGAGAGGACTGTCGAATAACCTCGCGTGGGGAACGACGAGTTGAGGCAGATGCAAGGTTGATATGCAGGAGATGAGAGACCATGTGCGAACGTGTGGGAAGCTTAGGAGGACTATAGAAAATAGGAAAAAAATGGAGACTTGCTGCTGAAGCCCTACCTCCCACTCGGCACCCAAAGCAACAACTATAACAGACAAACATTTTAAACAAGCTAGCCTCAAGCTTAGCCTTACTCTTAAAAATAGTGTGGGTCTAACTGTTTTTCCAGATGCTCATTTCCTTCAGTTTATTACTGCAATTGATACAAACATAAACAAGCTATTCAGAACTTGATTCACCTTTGATGTGATATATATATATATATATATATATATATATATATTACTAATCGCACAGAAGTCAGATAAGCATTCATTGAAGAAGACAGTAGCTAAGATCGAAAATTAAACCGCTGTTTACGTATGAACAGTGGTAATTTCTTCTCATTTAAAAAAAAGAAAACAAGTATTGCGTGAGAACAAGTTAAATACTAATTAGAAAGTATAAGGTATGAAGGAATTTACACTGTAGGACGTTAAAACACCAGGAAATATCATGAAGGGTAATCAGTAATCATTGTACAAGGTTACTACTGTAATGCTACCATCAGATGCGCTCCGCCAGATAGATACTTGCACGACAACCTGCTTTAATTACTTGCGACATAATTTTGTAGAAAGGAGCCTATGTGGAAAACAAGGAAAAGAAACAACGCTTATTGCAAATTAAATACCAAAGTTTATTACTTTTCCTTAAAAATAATTTACGATTATTGCTTCACATATACTCATTAGATGGTACACCAAACACAATGACTGAAGAGACTGGGCTTGATATGGATGATAGAATGTAAAGAAATAGATATGGATATACTCCAACCATTTGGTGATACGACGCAGCGACATTTTAGACTATAGAATTCTAAACCTTTTAGTAGTATTTTTTACAGTGTGAGATGAGAACAATGTGGACTCTGCAGAAATCTTCTTGTGTCTGGACGTGATAGAAAACAAGAAATTAGTTTTGTCGTTTTAATCGCATCTGAACGATTAATTTCACCTGAGGACATGTACAACTTTGCTACAAACCGATTTAGCATTACTTTCGCTGACTTAACTTAGACAAGTAGTATCATTTTAGAATAAATACACAAAAAGAACTCAAAGTGGTTTCATAAGAGAGATAATGAGAAGTAAATTAGCGGACAATTAGACCTGTTTGTTTACTCACGTACTAACAATCACAATATACATACCACTATAAAACACCTGAATCGATTCAGTGAATAATTATCTTTACATGTAATTGGAGTCACACTTAGGTCGCACAAAGTTTATAATCATACAAGGCAACAATTTTATGGTGTCTTTGACATGAACTTCCTATTCCCAAACCAGTCCCGAAGCATTGTATTCCATTCAAAAGGTGGAAAATGGTGTTGAATATACTCAGATTTTTACTCACGGCTCTTATGTGAGTTTTCATTTTTTTCAGTATGTTCATACAACGTCTGCATTCTATTCAATAGTGACCTAAGCGGTGGATCCTACAAAGATATCGATGACTATTGCAAAATCAGTTAACTCCCCGTAAGTTCTTACATAGGCGAAGCTACTTATAAGGGTAAACAGTCGATTTTACATAATGAGTACTCCAGTATCAAACTTGGGGCAGCTACGTATCACACTCAGCCCTCAAGCAAACTGTATGATTCACGGCAAAATGCATAAAGATGCGCTTGGCGACTAAGTAATACTAGACTGCGTTTATAGATTGAAATAATATAATTTCCCGATACCCACTCTTAACAATACCTAGAATTTAACGAAATGCAGTCCAGACTTCAGGGTAAGAAATATGGTGTGCCATATGCTAGTGTCCATGATCCTGCGCCTGTAGAATGGGAAAGACTTTAGTAGTTAACTTCGGTCCTATACAGTTTTGTTTGCTTCCCACAAATGAAATTTAGTAAAGAAAAATTATGTTCTCTAAGTTCTTTAATGATTAAATGATGCACCAAATACTTCATTTTCTTCCGGCAGAGTTACACTGAATAATAATAATAATAATGGTACGATAAAGAATAAGAAAATATTAATGTGCTTCAATGACAACGTATCATTTCATATTAGATAAGTTTATTTTAAATAACACACAGTGATGCAGTATTTCTGATGAAATATAAGTACTTGAAAAGGGATTAAACTCCAATATAGCTGTTAATAGATTAAAGCATTAAGCGAAGTAGACGAAGCCAGTGCAAAACAAGTCAGTGCATTGACACTGAAACACCAGAAGAAAGGAACAGACAACTTAACACAAAAAGAAATAGCAGCTCTAAAAGGCTTGAAGAACGACAGAAACAAAATCTGACAAGGACAATATAAATGTAGTCATGGACAAGTCAGACCACATAAACAAGGTCAGTCAAAGTATTGAAACAGGATCATATGAGAAAATTTAAAAAAAAAAACCGTGGACACTATTGTGAATAAAATCAAAAAATCTACGGATGATCCATCATCCAGTCGTAAATACTGCGTCACTATGTAATATTTAAAACAAACTTATCTAATATGGAAATACATTCTACCACAGAGCCAAAGTTCTACACTTACGACGATGTATCATTATTTTTTACTGAAATACAACCTCGATAGAACATTAGCGTTAAGAGATTGACAGGGTGCTGGCAGTTTATTCAGTGGTTTATGTTACAAGCCTTTTATCTATCAGCTAGTGGGAAAACTTCGTTGACTGAACCAAAGAATAACAATGGGCTTATAGATGATCCTAGCAACAACGTTTATTGTAGAGACAGTTCATTGCCATGTTCACGTGATGACATAACTAATCTATTTTTTAGACACTGACACCAAAGTTCGAATTGGAATTTTACTATGAAGTACCAGAGTTCTTAGTTATCTGTAGCATTAAATGTTGCTTCAGTCATATCTAGGTAGTAGATCCAAAATTAAGTTAATAAAATTGCCTTTTCATGATTCTATGCTAGTACGTGTGACCTACTGCATCTGATATGCTTTGTTTTTACTCGTATTCTAGTGTCGCTAGTTGACATTGAAGTATTTAAGGGTGTGCTATAACATCGCTCCAAAATAAGCAAGAGGATTAGACTCGCTTAAACAAAAGTCAAAAGCCTACAAAAGTAAAGCACAGTTATATAGGATGATAATGGGTAATTTACTGGAAGCAGTGAAAGATCTACGCAGGAGGTGAAATGCAAACACAAATTTGTAGATGAGGAGCACCTGCCACATATAATTTGTGTGTGACTACAACGTTCACTAGATAAACTGCACATAGTGCATTATCAATAAATAAAGTCAATCATAACAGTTCTAATCCACTTTCTCTTACCACAATTCGCTTTACAAGAGTATTCACTTATATAATACAATAGACAAAACTTTAAAAACTTACCTTTTCAGCCTCGTGTTCAATACCCGTATCATGATGTTCAATTTCATCATCACGGAACTTTTTCAATGTCTACAAACCATTTAGAAGATAAAAAGAAAAAGTATCTACGCCACTACTCAGGATAAATTTCCAAAAGGTTCAAAAGTAAACTTGTACTAGGACAACTGCTTGTTATAGAAGGAAGGAAGAGATTTTCTCATTTTTGCTGGTATCTTACTTGTTATTGCTTTGCAATTATGTATAAGTTAAAATCACCCAACTCACACACAAATCGGCATAAGTTAGAATTCATGGGCCGTTGGATCGGGTCCCAGTGGCTTAATGGTCTACAAGCTAGGTCGCCGTGTAACCAGAAGGTCCTGGGTTCGAATCCCGATGGGTGTGTACTGATGAAGAGTCCCAAACTAGGACGAAACAACTGTCCAGTACTCCCAGGTTTTCCAATGGTTCTCTAACTAATGTCAGCTCATGATGAAATCCTGTAACCAATCACACAAACCCAATGTTTGAATAACAGAATATTGCTAACTTACGACCAGCTTTCAGTTGAACTCCCTGAAGATCTAATAAGAAGTTATGCGCTCCATCCATTCCACCAAATGTAAGGACAAATATTAAAAAATGACACAAGATTGTGGTAGCGTTATTTATCCAAAAACTGAAAGTTATGAGTCAGTGAACTCCGGATTAGTGGCTGAATGGTTACAATTTTGCCTAGTAACACGACAGTCCTCAGATCAACACCTCACGAAGTCATAAGTCGGAAATGTGTAAGAGTAGCGAACTGAGATCTAAAAAAGTTGCGGAATACACCATGAATTTCGACAGCAGTCACAATGATTTCATATTACCAAGAGTAGTGTTAATTACTACCCGTCATATTCTTAAATCCCCCAAATCACTTTGTTGATTTTAATTGACGTTCTATTTTTTCATATAAATTGAATTGATAAGTAAGTGTGTGTGATCAGATTGTTCGAAATGCATTGTGCAAATACATCATATTTTTCAGATATACGCCATCCTCTAGTAACGCTATGCAAATTCACTAAAAAGACTGATTCATTTAAATTTTCAAAATGATATCGGCCTTGAAGTCAATCAATCAACCAATCCCTTAAAAGCGTTACGCCTGTATAGTTAGAAATTCATTTTGTATTCAGTATTTATAAGCAGTTTCTACTGCTACCCAATGGATAATCTGTTAATTGAGGTGAAAAGGTTAGCGTAACATTTGAATCGTTTGGTTTAATCAGTAAGTAGGTTATTCAAGCAATAACTCCGAGAGATTTATGTGTTCAAATTCTGTCAAGAGTTTAGTTTTCGCTTGATTTTACTCATCATTCATGCAGAAGAAAACAATTCTGTAAACTGATGATCCAAAAACTGTAGTTATCCAACTAATAAACCTCGATATGTAACCAGTCAAATCCCTGCATACCAACACTCACTTCATATATATATATATATATATATATATATATATATAAAAGCACTAGACTTTAGACTTCTTACAAACAAACTGTTAGACTATCTATGAAGGTGAAATTTTTTTAACGATTTTGTCACTGGACGAATAAATGAATGAATAGTTATTAAAATTGATTTAAGAAGACACCACATAAGTGTGAACCTTTAGCGATCGATAGGTCAAACACTACAATTATTGCTGTCAGAAAATAATAATTAGTCGCACATATTTACTGACTGAGATGAATACATTTAGTGACTAACTGGAAATCCAAGATTCTTCTCTTTTTTTTTTGGAACAAAAATGTTTAAGTGAGCAGCAATTACCTGTGTGGGTATGTGATGAAAATTCAACACTTCAAGGGTCTATTACACAACTTCGACTGAAATCAGTGTAATGACACAGAGGACAAATTAACAGGACACAATAACTGATGATAAGGTTGTTGATATAATCCTTAATTCGGCTTTCAATACAACTAAGAAACAAATATAACCGAATAAAACCCTATTGACAACTGTACCAATGATTGATTTGTTGTAGACATCAATGTAAGTTTATGCACTTACCTCGCTTTGGTTGATATTAACTAGCAATGGTATCCAGGATACGTACTTCGTCCTATCTGGGACTCATCATCCGGCTGTGCCTGCATCACAATGAGTAGTGGATGTTTACTCTGAGAAACTAAATATTTCTTCCCAACGTGATCAATTAAGGGGAAACACACTCTAACCAAAATAATGATAATAATTGATAACTGTTGTATAGGAGGTGGTTATGGATAACGTTTTGCCGTTTGAAAAAAAGGGATGCGAGGTTCAAGTCTCGATGACAACGCCATCACCCACTGGGGAATGCAGGTACATCCAGCAGACAAGTCCCAAATAGGACGAAATGTGCCCCCTGGATTTCACTATTAGTCACCATCAATCAAAATAACATCATGTTAATGTTCAGACATCGTCAAGGCGTCCGTACTAGGAGCGGACATGTCAACAGACATTGAGCATTCCTATCCAACATAACCAATCAGCGGGAAATGCAAGTTAAGCTTAACAATTTTTACACTTATCTACGTATAGCTTCTGAGCTCATATTGTTAATACTTTTGGAGTCTCCACTACACTAATATCATCTCATGTTAGCAAGTAAGCTGAAAAATTTTTATACACACATACTAAATAATAAAATTTTTTAGGCTGTATGAGACTGACGAGAAACCAGTCAAGTAAAATAATATTATCCTATTTATGGTCCAACTTTATTTTTTGCTGTAATACAATTTTGTTGCAAAAATCTATTTTACTTTTGACAAAGTGTCAGTGTTATGTAGTGAATCAAATCGAAAGTGAATTTTTTGCTATTTAAATAGGTTCAGACACTTGTGATGAGTTAAGCACAGTTACATTGTAGACAGAAATTTTAGAGACAAAAAAGTGAAAAAATTTCAGACCGTTATTCAACAATCAAATACACATGAATACACCAAGCAACAAACCACAATTTTGATGTGAGGGCTCCTATGGTAATAATCAGTAGACACACTGGTTGAAAGTCAAATTTCTAGTTCACCACCAGCACAAAGAGTTGGAAAAATTGTTTTGCTGTATATGCATCGCTTTAATAAAGTTTAAAATGTACTTTAATTATGCACAGATTTATTGAAGGATGATCAAAGTAATGACCAACCCCGACTGAATCCACCAGTGGGTTGGCCAACTGATTCAGATATTATGGGGACTGACTCAGTTTCAGTGCAGAAACTCTGTATAGAGGTGTAGCAGCTCAAGATCCTACACTCCATATAGCAACACGAAAGTAGAGCAAAAGAAAAAATTCAAAAGAACTACAATGAGTAGGAATGAGAAAGAATAATTACATAGAGAAACATGAGGATTTATTGGATCTAGGAGATTACAAAGAGTGAATGCATTTCAGTCACTGAAAATGACTTTGAGCCATACCACTAACAGTCCCCAGATATCAGGTCTCAGGGTCTCGATTTCCCATGTCAGGAAATCAACAGCTCCCTACGTGACTGGCTTAAGGCAACAATCAAAGACTTCACAGATAGTTTTCAGGTTTTGATTTTGCCACCCCGTAATTCTTATCCAACTGAATCCTATATTAGATACGATTTTTACATATGTGTGATGGTTAGAGATTTGAAAAAAACCTCCGTCGCAATAGGATCTCAACATAGCAATCACTGACCGTAACAGTATTCTCACTAAACTAACCAGCTCAACCCGTAATTCCAATATTTGCATTATACACAGTATTGAGGTCACTAAGTAATTAGGTACTGAATAAATTTAGAAAAATAATTGAGCAAAGAATATTCTATGTATATAAACATATATACAATTGTAGAGGCAGAAGAGGAAATTATGGAAAAGGATATTCTTTGCTCAATTTTTTTGTAAATGTCTGAATGAATATTTTCGCTATACTGAAATTGTTTGAATTAGGTTTATAGTAGTTTCAGCCGAACATTTGTCCGTCTTTAACTACAGGGTAATGTGAAACGAGTTATTAACAGCTGAAAATGCTTTTTTCTAAAGCCCATGGCCAAAAATAACCACAAGCAGGCATTCGAATTTCAGGATGACAGTGAAAAAAATCTCTTGATTATTATCATAGTAATATGGAATACCACAACACAAGATTCAACTAGTTTAGGGAAAAAAACACTACCTGAGCTAATTGCTTGCAGTCACCTTTCCTCTTAATTTACATGATGACATAATTACGAGTATTCACGCGGAATAAATGAAATAAAGTCTTCCTTATCCGGTTTTTACGGACAATCAGGTTCTTATCAACACAGCGATTAAGCTTCATTCAAAAGAATAGCCATGAGGTGTAGACTTTGAACTACTTTCATTGGCTCAACAAAAAGCACAAAAGCTCAACCGACGCTTCCGCCTCAACAACGAGGCAGTGTACATACTGCAACCATGGAAATACGGTGATAGGTGATAATTTGTCGTCAGAGTAGTTTCGGTGTTATCAGGCAGTTATATGAAATTGGTAGCACAATAAGCACTGTTTGCTTCTATTCATAATAGAACTACTCAGGCTGTTATACAGGCTATCTGCCGAAATAGACCGACGAACGCCAAGAAGTTGCAAAGAACTCGAAGAACTCTAGTGTTTGTTATCGGGACGTTTCTTAAGCTACAAAGACTTTAATCGCTATTCTGTTAATGGAATCACTGTTCTTCTTTACTCTCCAAATGATCAGCCTAGAATCGAGGTCGGTCTGCTATTTTGCTGCAGTAATAGATGCAGCCAATTTCCTTAAGTTAACCTATTTACGGAGACATCCAAAAGAGGAAAAATAAAGCTATTATGTATTTTACTGTAATCAGAATCCAAACAAAAGTTCAATAGGAACCAGCAACTTTATATGCATCTACATCATTGGTATATGATAGACGTGAGATCTATTTAAGTCCAAGCTTGAATGGATGTTGTTAAGTCAGTCAATCAGTAAAAAGCAAAAATATACACTTAAGAAAGACTAACCTTCAGTAATTCTTGGTAATTTTCAGGATCAGATTCCATAAGTTCGCGAATTTGATTATTGTAGTGTTCGGATATCACAGACTCAACAGCAACAGTACAGGCCATAGCACTTTTTGATCCTAAAAGTGCACTTCCCACTCCTAATGCGAAACCAGCAACACTCCACAGAGGTAGAAGCAATGTAGGCCTCACTCTGTGTATAGGAATCAGTTCTTCAAATTTTTTAAGATGTTCCTCTTCTTGTTCACGCATTTCCTGTATGGATGGTAGAATAAAACCTTTACATTTTTGCGTAAGTGGTAACTTTATGATATATTGTCAAAATAGCACTAAAATATGCCCGTCATTTGTTCTCGTCAACATATGTTGACCTACTGAATCAATGTACTAAAAAACTGTGATGGTTATCTATTACTGTCTGTAAGGACGCATGGAGTGACATCAAATAATTTATGATGTATTTTTAGAAGGCTCTTATTGATATAAGAGAAAAGGATATTACTCTTTGAACTCAGTTACCCGAACAGATCTTTTATGTACTTGTGGATGAGCTACACTCGCGGTGGAGGTTGATGACACTATCCAGTTCCCAAAGCAGGAATAGGTGGAGAGGAACTCGAACCCAAGCCTACTCTCTGAATGTTGGACGCTTAAGACAATGAACCGCGTCTTCACATATGACATACGTAAACAAATGAAAACAACCCTCCAAATAAGTAATCTAAAAGCTACTTTTAACACAGAATGCTGCATACCCACTAGCAAGCTTTTAAGAACAAAGGACTATTATAGCAAAGAATTGCTCATTTCTTCTCAATATGACTTACATGAGCAGAAGCAAAACTAACTTTTTTGGGAACTTTCAGTTATCCTATTTGTAAATTCGAAAGACTAGTAGGTGACAAAATATGTCGTGACTAAAATACACTGAAGATACAATTAATAGAATAGACTCAAACTAACACAATAAATGAGTATGTACTATTCAAAATAAATTCACAAAACGAAGATCCCCCAGTGCTTAGTTTTCACTTATATAAAATAACACTATCCGCAATCGACGAAGTATTAAGCAAAACAACTTTCGTGTCGAAAAAAACGAGTAATTAAGCTTCATTTATGTTAACTCACACCTGGGTAATGTATAAAGTTAATTTAGTAATAGAAATGCTATTAATTCCGTCTTTTGAAGAACACGAATGATGCTACTCCATATTTGATCCTGCACTTATTTTATGAGATATATTAAACCCATTCATCGAATTGTATATCAGAATTTCGTCTGGATTACTTAGGACTTGTAAACCACACATCATCGTTCTTCAAAAAAACAGATTTTGTTCACCTAATTATTCTCACATCGAAAAATGTGGAGGAAGAACATTTCCTATATATATATATATATATATATATATATATATATCTTGACTTCGCTATACGTAATGTATACGACATACTGCCACTAAAATAAATTTACAAGCAATAATTGAGTGACGTGCTAGCATAAATTAAACAGATGGAGAGAAGCGACGTTTACGTAACTAAGGCTGTAGTTCCTAATGGCAAAAACACTTGACAATAAGCAAGCATGTCGCGTTATGCTTGAATGTAAAGTGGAAACGACTAGAAAAGGTAATTTGTAGATAAGAATGTTCCGCGTAAATGTGGTCGCATACTCGGAAATTTTATAATGAGTCTGTGAAAAATTCATTTTTACTGCAAGAATATACTAATTTTCACTATTCACACAATTACTGTGGGATTCTTACACCACACGTCCGTTATGCCGTTAACCCCACTACTCAACAGGCGGAAACATACTTAGAGATGTCAGCCCAGATCTCAGGCCACCTACATGGTGGAGAGTATAACACTGATATATAGATATGACATCCATAACTTGAAAGTCTTATTTTACAGCTGTAGGTGACAACAAACAAACTAAGGAGGTGGAAAACGACCGGTAGTTTGTGATCAAGACCTTGGTTCAAGAATTTAAGTTACATAATAAGAAACAATAAGATGAGGCAGTTAATGAGTGGAACAGAAGAAAAATCAATGAAGTCCTAAAGCCTCCGTTATTGAAGCAGTCGAGACTTGTATTACACATGCTCAGAAAAGAACTGAGACCTGATATCGGATTAGGATGGGAAAGGGTCACACCGATATACAAAATCAGTCTACCAAAACCGAGGCTATGCATCCAAGCTAAACAGTGACGTGTAGCCATGCTTTAGAATTACGTGGTTGCATTGACTCTCTATCATCTCCCGGATGACAAAGTGTTAACTTATGTACTCCCTAATATATATTAGCGAGTGTATACACTCATATATTATAGTTTCACTGCACTTTTCTCTATGAAACATTACATCAGAGATCCAGAAGAATTAATAAAGCTCAGCACTATAAATCAGATGTATTCTATTTGATCAGGGACTGACAATACTGATTTGTTGAAAAAGGATTTCATATTACCTTTATTTTAGGTCCAACGCTGGATTTTCCGAGAACAAGTAACTGCCCCTGATAAATTTTGTTAGCACCGAGCTCTCCAGCATGGTCAACACGGATAATTCGGTCAACAATAGCCCTAACTTTCGGAGAAACAGCTGCGCACATTTTAACAATTAGTGTTCCGCGCTCCTGAATACCCTTGACAGAACACAATACACGACAAACTTGAACAAAAAAGATTTCAGATTTCTTGGTTGAGGATAGAGGGCTTAGAGCCTATGTTAATCCTTTTCTAGTATATTTCTATGGTTGTCCAAATCCTTCTTGAACGAATCAGTTGAGGTTGCAGACACCACTTCTTCTGGGAGTCGGTTCCAAGAGTTTATGACTCGGTGTGAGAACCAGTACTCAACAGCAACATGATTTCTTCTTGGATTTTGAACTCTCCTGCTATGTCCTCTAAGGTGTTCCAACCTGGTGGGAAGGAAGAGAGAGAATAGGTCAGGTCCGTAGTCATTATTTAAAATTTTAAACATTGTGATTAAATCTCCTCTCTACCTACTGTATGACAAGGATTTAAACTGTCTAGTCCTTCCTCGTATGATAAATTAGTCTTTCCGAGAACCATACGTGTTGCCTTCCTTTGAACCTTTTCTAGAATGTGTGAGTCCCCTTTTAGACAAGGGCTGGCGGCCTGGATGCAGTTTTCTAGTCTTGACCTCACCAGAGATGTGTATAAGGAGGTGAACATATCTCTGGTGATTCAAGTGAAGGCTCTACGAATTGCCCATAATGACCTGAAACTACGTGCAGCCACTGCGTGACAGTGTGCTGTAGTTTTGAAGTCGTGGCTAACTATGACACCTAAGTCCAAGTGAGTCTGAACTGATGGAAGTGTAATTCCCTCTAGTTTGTAGGAGCTCGTGCTTGCTTGTCCAATGAGCATGGTTTCACATTTTGCCACATTTATCGGGAGCATCCATTCTGTGGACCACTTTGACAATTTGTTGAGGTCCTCTTGCAACGTGGACGTGTCACTCTAACCCTTCAGCTCTCTCCAAATTTTTAAGTCATCTGCGTATAGGACCATAGGTGAGTTGGTGAGCAGAGATAACTCATTGATATACAAAATAAATAGTAGAGGTCCAAGTACCGTGCTTTGTGGCACTCCGCTGCGTACTGCTGTCCAAGAGGAGAGTTTCGAGTTGATCCTAACCCTCTGCATCCTATCTATGAGGAATTCCCTGAGCCAGTTTAGTAAGCTGCCTTTGATACCAAGACTTTCCAACTTCATGATTAGTCTTTTGTGGGGTATTTTATCAAAGGCTTTGCTGAAGTCTATGAAGACGACGTCAAGGTGTCTTCTGTTGTCCCTGGATTTCACCCAGCTTTCTCTTGCAGTGATAAGATTTGACAGGCATGAGAGGTTCCTTCGGAAGCCATGCTGTTCTCTGGATAACAAGCTGCTGTTTTCCAGATATGCCATGATGCTTTTCTTGATGATTCTTTCCAGTGTCTTAATTAAAGTGCTGGTGAGACTGATAGGCCTGTAATTTGAAGAGCTTTGTATTGATCCTCCTTTGTGGATGGGGTGACTATGGCGTCTTTCCAGTCACGCGGTAACACTCCATTTGGGAGAGAAAGCTTGAAGATCGTAGTCAAAGGGCCGGCTATGTGGGCTGATAGCTACTTGAGAAGCCTTGGATGAAGATTATCAGGACCCATTGATTTCCCTGCATCTGGTTTCCTTAGGCAGTTGAGCACGATGCCTTGGTCGATGTCAACGGAATCTATCCTATGTTCTTCTGATGCAGCCAGAGCTGATCCTATAGGCAGTGACGACTCCTGAGTGAAGACTTGGGAGAAGTGGTCTGCCACTGGTTCTGTTTTTTCTTGATCTTCTTCGATTGTATCATTGTCAATAATCAGGTTTGGGACACCATTGGATGTTTTATTCCTGAAGTTCATGTACGAGAAAATTTTCTTAGGTTGTGCCTTTGCGTTTTGAGCCAGGTGTGCTTCGAATTTCATCCTTGATTGGCGGATTTATGCAATAGCTTTATTTCTAGCAGTGTTATATAATTGGCTGGTCTCAGAAGTCTCAAGTGTGGCAAACAAGTTCCAACATTTGCGTTTGCGTCTGAGTAACTTACGAATCTCTCGGTTTATCCAAGGAGGGCAATGTTTCCGACCCTTTGGGACAGATCAAGGGATGAAAGGTTCAGTTACTTGGGCGTAAAGTTGTTTAAATTGGTTCCTTGCGGCTTCTACTTGAGACTCTGGGTTGATGCACCAGTTTACTGAGTTGGCTGCTGAGACGATTGCATTTATATCAGCTTTCCAAAAGTCTGGTCGAGATGGGGTTTTGGCCATTGCTGCCGTTGCTGTGAACTTGAAAGTGAGCACAGCATGGTCACTTCTTCCTCAAGGAGGAAGATGTTGTATGAGATCCACATCCTCACCATGGGAGAACACTAGGTCCAGAGTGCTGTGAGTCATAGTGCGTGGGCTTAATGATATGTTGGATTAGGGCTAACGATATACTAGATTCCAGCAGCTTATAATCAAAGGAGTTGACTGAGGATGGAGTTGTTAGGCTCGTCCAGTCAGCTGTTGGGGCGTTGAAGTCGCCAACTACGAGACTTCGACATTTCGAGGTCCAGGAGCCTAGCTTCTCTATCAGGAAGTCATCTGCACCGCAGTCAGGACTGCAGTACATAGCAATGAGGTCAATGTCTTGGCCTGTACATTTAAGTCTGCAGCGTAGAAGTTCGCACGACTCACTTTCGTGAGCGAGTGCTTCGATACTACGCACGGTTAAGCATTTCTTGAGGTAGATGACTACGCCACCTCCTTTGCGGTCTGGTCTGTCCACCCTATGCACTTCGAAGTTTGGTAGGTTAACTTCGTTGTCAGTGACATCGGGTGTGAGCCATGTCTCTGGGATAGTAATTACATCCGGGTTTCCGGAGTCTATCATGTTAACCAGCTCAGTCCGTTTATTTAACAGGCTGCGGACATTTGTGTAGCAAACTGTCAATTCAGTTTGGTGCTTCACCGGCCTACCCACGGAGGTTTCGGGATCATTAAACTGAGAACTTGGACAACCCGAAAACCCTTAATCTTAAGGTTCTCTTCGCCGTTTCGGCGTCGTTCGCTTAATTCTAGGGCTGCAGGCTGTCTTTTGACACGGTCTGCTAGGCTTAAGTCGGCGCGGACATATATGCCTGATCGTTTAAGAATATGAGAGTTGCTTAGAATAGCATCCCTCTCTACTTCAGAGTTTAGTACGACTTTGAGGAGACGTACAGGCTGACTTACTGTAGGGTCAGGCTTTTGGCCTACTCTATATACGCTATGTATAGTAATGCCTGATACTGTTTGTGGCAGTAGCTTGTCTAAGAGAGTCATGCTCAAATCTAGTCTTGGGATCGGGGGCCAGTGACTCTTCCACTTTGTGGAGAATGAGCGACCTGTCAGAGAGATCAGGTTTGCTTGTCGTGGCTTTCTTGCTCTGCGACGTTAATGTCTTTCTGTCCTTCGTGGGCAGTGTGGCCAATGTGTTGTCCTTATCTCGCTTTTTTGCGAGAGACTACGTTACGCCATTCATTGGCGTTCTCCTCGCTAATCGTAGTGGGATTTAGCTGCCTGCTACTCACCGGTGTGGATGAGGCTTGATCCACTAGTCCCTGGGCGACTTGAGCTGCAGGTTTTCGACCCCTGGTACGCCTCTTCTTTGTGGCAGTCTTTCCATTACTGTCACTGGAGGGCTTGCACAACCAGTTTGCTGGAGGTTTGCAGCAGCGTTTGTATGTTGCAGGAGTTAGGTTTGTGCACATACTGTGAAACCATCTCTTGCAGTTATCACTCTGCATTCCATCATCCACTGGGAATTGGCACATAACCCTTCCGCAGCGGTTTTTCTTGATGGGCATGCTGTCTAGAGCGAACTGGCGAAGAAATTTAAATATAACTTTAAATCTATGTAGACCTTTATAAATCAGTGATAAAACCAATGAGCGCACAAGTATATATATATTATGTTATAAGACGCAACTTCATATAATTTAAATAGACTCAGATCTGAAAATTAAACTAACTTTGATCAGAATAAACTGATTTCAACTTAATCTTTAGACTTTTGGAACGTATAACACTACAAGAGCCAAGACTAAACAAGAGCGTGTAAAATTCACTCCCCTTTCACTCCCTTTCAAAACGAGAACAAATTGTACGGAGTGAAATGACGTGATCTTATTTCACTTATTTTTATCAGCCGCGTACGACCGTAGGGTCGTAGGCCTTGAAAAATATAGAGGTTCTCTTGGACATGGCGACCTAACCTTGTGAAGCTAAATGAATCGCTACAGAAACTTTAAACCACAGAAAGAGGCCAAGGAAAGAATTATTCTTCACTAGGATTGGAGGGACAAAACAACGCTGGCTGCAAGAAACTCATTGTGGAGGTAGGTAAATCCACAGAATTACTGGCCATAGCATTCATCACTGAATACTGGATGACGAGCCTCCTCCCTGTTTTACTCAACTAGTTTGGCTGAAAGCCTCCGACCAAGCATTCACGCCATTTGACACGCCGTCGTGTTAAGTTCTTTCGTTCGACCGGCAACGTCTTAACGAACTATCACGCAATGTCGAATTAGGTGATCGATCGGCTGTGAACATGCTATCAAGAATGAGGGAAGTTATTGCCCGATGTCACTTCGATGAAAGACTCTTTAGATGACTGTTCTTATACAAATTGCCACAGTCAGTACAGGCTGTGCTTGTGACACTTCAACGTGTTGTTATAGACGACTTATCTACTTCTGACTATGGAATTCCAGAAATAACACGACAGCCAGTCGCACAAATGTGCTCAGTTGCTAAACAAACTTCGAGTAGGGTCGCTGCAGTGATAGAGTTGTGCAACTCCGTCCAGAAACTACATAGGTCAAATAATCCCCGGCATTCCTCCTATCATCATCTGAATTCCTCTCAACAGGGAAACCCACGTCGTAGGTCAAAATTCAAGCCGCCTTGTTTCAAAAATCTAGACTGGTGTTGCTATCACAACACCTATGGCCAGGAAGCGAAATGTTGCCGTAACCCTTGTAATTTCGGCAATGTCTCAAAGTCTGTGGGAAACTATACCGCCAGCACGCGTTAGCGGCAACCGTCGCCGGTGGCACTAGTCGCCTACTTCACATTCGTGATGTACTAAG